AGAATAAAATTAATGATTCTGTTATTTGAAAATTTATTTATTATTGATCTTTTTCAATTAAATTTAAAAAAAATATTTCTACAATTTTGCAGAGTAATAAAAATCTGTAAAATTACAAATAATAATTTACATCATTTTGGTAAAATGTTGCTCTTATAAAAATAGCAAATAATTCAAAATATTTTGGCAAATTATAGAGGCGCCGTTTTGACCCCTGGCAGAGGTCAACGCCACACTTACTTCTTTCCAGCTTTTTCCTCTCTCGGTCTTTGGCCGTCGCAGTGATTCGGGGGGCGAATTGAGATTCGTGCATCACGCGAGTCGGTAATTATAATGCCGGTCTCGCCGCAACTTGACAAAGTATTTGTTATTAGGTCTCATCTAATGAATAAAAGATTAAACACGGTGCGATTTCACAATGGTAAATCACAGAGGGAGAGTGCAATAATAATTGGCGTTAGATCCATCAACACAAACAAAGGGCAAAGCACTTCATGCGTGTGCGTTTCGCCTTCGAATCGTATGCAAATGAGCGAGGCCATTTGCTCTAATTTGGGGTTCGCATTTTGCTCCTTCACGCTGCTGCCCATTAATTCCGCAAAATATTGAGCTTTTGTTCCACTAATGCAGGCTAATGGTCCTCTCCGCGGCCCCGGAAAAATTCAACAAACGAAAGCTTTAGCTGCCGTTGCAATTTACAATTAACGAAGAAAGTTGCACCTTCTTCTTAATTAAATCAGCAAATGAAGTGTAGACAAAACTTGGTGCCGAGTTTTTGCACCACGTGTCTCATTAAACATGGAAAAACTTTAAGTGGGACACCTTCCTTGTCCCTCCGAACTAAAGGAATTAGAAAAGAAAAGGAAAAGTAACGTCGTCTGGGAGAGAAATGAGGCAAAAAACCTGGTAAAGTTTCATAGGAACAAAATTAGGTTGGTTTGTACAAAATTTTTAATTATGAAAAACACTGTCCGAATATTTGAAAGAAGCTTAAAAATTTATATTTTATGGACTTTTTATCTCAAGTATTTAAAGTCTCTTTCAATTTGACAGAACAAGTGATTTTTTTATGATAATCTAATAACTTGATGTAAATAATTAGTGATTATATTTTTCAAGAATGCTTAAATTTTGAATTGAATTCTACTGGATAAAAAAATTATTATTGTTGCAGGATTTCTGATAATATTCTGACATTTAATTGCTTTCAACTGGCTAAAGTTTTCTATATCAATAAAAATTTTAAGAGATTGCAAAGGCTTTGTTCTTCAATCAGTCATTTGAAATCAGCAAATCCCCCCGAAAAACAATAATTATCGATAAGACTTTTTTATCTTTGAGCCATTCAAGGTGAATGACTGGAAATAAATACGGCTGCAAGATAGAGATCGTTAGCCTGGTGACAGAAAAGGAAAAGCGTGTGTTCGTTCAAAAGAAGCTTTGGTTGCTCAACAAAAGAGCAGAAAAAGCCGCCGTTTGCTATGCACGCGGGGCTAATCAACGCATTCTTCTTGTCCTCTTCTTGAATGCAAGAAGACTGATGATCGCGCTTCTTTTTTTTATATTTATTCTCCGGGCAAATGACAACTTTTCTTCTCGTGCCATACAAAGCGCGCGATTTATTACTCGGCCCGGCTGCGGAGTTATTTATTTGGGATTCTGGTCGTCGGGGCTATTTTGTCTCCTGTCCGCCATACACGGAATACTAAATTAAGCCATCACTTTGGCCGGGCCATTAGCGACATGTGGACGAGCACTTTGAGCTGAGAGAGAGGAAAACCCCGGCAAAATTGAACACCGCATCATCACGGCAGCAGGCAAATCCGAAACGCTCGTCGTTTATCAGAGCGTGCCATTTTCGTCGATACAACATTTTGAAATATTCAAAACATTCATTATACAGATTTTAAAGCAAGATTTCGTTTTATTTTACAGAAAGTGAAAAAACACTATTTGTCAATTATTAATTTTATTTAAATTAGAGATGGAATTGAAAATCATGTTTAAATTTAATATTCTGATGAGAATTTTACATAATTTTGATTATTTGTTACTAATTTCAGTAAAAAATTCAAAACGAACGGTTAAATTAAAATAGATTGCTTGAAAATAATTTATTAAAGTTTTTTTTAGCTTCCGAAACAATTATTAATAATATTGACAGAAGTGAATTTAAAGTAAAGTTTCTGTGAAATTTAAACTTATGCATAATAAATCGTCTCACTGCCTATGTAAGAGTTATTTATTCATTTTTCCTTTTGTGAAAAGCGAGACGAGATCGATTTTCAGAGGCGAGACGTGGTGCAGAGCCGGTTGCATACATTACTGAGCATATTTTGTACAGGCGAGGCTTGGGAGCGCGCAATATTTTTCAAGCCATTAGGCAGACTGTGGAAACATTTGTTCGGTCGTCGAGCGAAATTTCAGATCAAGATACACACACGCCAGAGCGTTCATCGCACATGGAGGATCCTTTTGCATAATATTATACTCTTTTTTTTTGCGCCATGCGACACCCCAGGCAATACGATCGAGCGAGCGACGGCTCATGAAGCATCAGCAGCCGGATGATTCCGGCCGTATTGCAGCCTTCCATATTCGGATGCAGATCAACTTTTATCACTGGCATGACGTGTGCATTTTATCTGCCACCTCTTTTGAGAGAAGGAAAATGCCAAAGGAAGCGATTTGGCCTCCAAATGTAGTGGAAAATTTATTTTGAAACGAATAATAATTTTCTTCATTCATCTGAGGACAGGTTTTATTGCCTTGAATTTTCCTTCCTTTTGAATCATGTTCAAATTTGTCCTCAGACGAGTAAAGAAAAGTATTTTTCATTTCCAAATAAATTTTCAAGCAAGGATTTCATGTTCTTTTCCGGAAAATTACATTTCCGTAAAAATAAAATGATGAAATAGCTTTGCTTCTAATAAGAAATAACAGATAATTTCTTCACTTCCAAATGTAAATTTATATGCTGAACAGCTTTGCTGCTGGTAAATTCTCTCAAAACCTCTTGTCAAAACGTATTCTGAATACCAAAATTGCATGTTTTCGTTTTCGGGATTCAAAAATTACTTGTAAAACGTAGAACTCTAATAAAAATGCCCATATTATCAAGTTCACCTTTGATGTCGACAGCGAAAAACAACCCTTTTTTCGTGTTCAGCTTTAAAGATTTTCGAGTGGGCTCATTTTTTAGAAGGACATATTCATGCTTTGTGTGTCGGCCGCGGTCAAATGTTCATTTCGTGCCTAAATTAAAAATAAAAAAACTCGCGTTGCCCCTCCTTTCGTAATTAATTATACAAACGCAAGAGCCATAATAACGAGCGCAGCCCTCAAAAGTCTTCCTCTCATTATGCGCGTTCACATACAAAACAGCCTGGTAATGACACACAGACACCAACAAATTTGTTACATTTCTCCGTGTGACGTGCGGCGAATTTAATTACCGCGTTGATGAATAACCGTGTCTTCCTTTTGTGCAAAGAAAAGAGGCTTTGCTCCGAACCCGCACCTGTGTGAAGTTTCCGCCCAGGAATTGCGATAATTAGCCTTTGTGGCCAAAGCTCACTGACGATTTAGTTCAGATGCTAATTTTTTGATTAATTCCAATGCTGAAAAGTTATTTAATCGTTTAATTTGGCAGTAATTTCAAGTGAAAAGAGTTAAAAAGATGAAATGATACAAAGAACAAAATTTTTAGAAGATGTACATTTTTTTATTTACTCGGATTGATCCTCTGATTTAATACAGATTTATTATATAATTCTTTGCATATTGAAACATTTTTAACTAATTTTGGATTTTATTTTCAAATTGTACAATATATTCTGTTATATTTAAAAAAATTAAATTGTAACAAAGTTGGAAATTTTTTAAAAACTTTTTTAATTGTAATTCTTGCTCCGCAAAGCAAAGAGTTCTGCGACAGAATCAATTTTCCCTCGTGTCTTTTGCTTCTCGCGCGAACGAGATTAGAAAATTAATTAATCAAATCACTTCCCCTCGGTTTGGTGCGCCTGGAACAAATCCCCTTTCCTTGCCACAACTTTCTTCGATGCATCTTAATTATGCATCACTGCATAGAATAAATTCCGGCATCTTTGCTGAGGATGAAAGCGTCCCAGCATTTGCATAGTCCGTTCTAACCCTTCTAAGTGACTTCCGCCTGATGAACCGGTGCATCAATCAAGGCATTAATTGCTTTCTCAACTATTTGCTTATTTACTAATTTATTTCTGTTTGAAAATGAGCTTTATAGGTGTAAAATAAATCTCTTATATTTGTTCTTTAAAAAGTTCATTTCTTTTTTATCTACTGTAACGAAGCTTGCAAACCAGATTAACAATATTTAAATTGCCAGACGTTCAATGAGACATAATGTGTCTATTCAAAATCAAAGCAAATTTATTATCAGCCAGTTATCTCCACTTCAAGATTTGAAAACAAGCACTTAGTAGGAATAGAGAGAAATCACTAATTTTTCAAGGAAAACTTAGAAAAAAGAAACATTTGCATCCCAGTTTCAAGAGCTAGATATAAAAAACTTATTGCAAAAACCTTTTTAAATAAAATAACTTTAAAATTTAATGGAAAATTTATTATATAATCAGTTATATTTAAATTTAAATAAAATACACATTATTTTCCAGTGGCCTCAATCCGGATAGTATCAGTTAAATTTTTAAGTAATTTTAAGTCAAAAGGATAGGGAGAAAATAAAAATAATTAGCCATTATTGGGGTTTTATTGGTTGGTAATAAAAAAATCAGATAAATTTTATTTAAATCTTATATTGAGGTTTCTATATTGATCCTAAACAATAGGGTATTTCCAAATGTGAGACAAGTAATTTAATCAGCCAGACGAAGACATGCCAAAAATTATCAATCAGCAAATGCGAAAATCTCCACCATTGTTGCTAAGCCAGTGTTTTTGGTTTCTTGAAGTCGGCTGACATTTGGCACTTGAGATAAGATGATAAAATTTAGTATAAAATCGTGTCGAAATTTTGCCAAATCGCACTACCTGCAAGTTGTGATCAACATGAAGGTCCTGGTCGCTCTCTCCGCCATCTTGGCCGTTGGCCTGGTAAGATATTAGTTTTTTTTTTCCAAAATATTATTTGTGGCAGATTTTTTAATTGGATTTAATTTGAAAGGCCGCCAACGTCAACCTCAGGCCCGCTCACAAGTTCAAGCCTGTTTTGAATGCCATTCCTCCCAGTAAGTATAAACCAAAGTGGAATATAATTATGGTCAATTTTAACTTTTCACTTTGAAAATTCAGAGAGCAACCGCATTGTCGGCGGCCAGTTGGCCACCCGCGGCCAGTTCCCCTACCAGGCCGCTCTGATCATCGACGGCGGAGTTTTCTGCGGAGGTTCCCTCGTCTCTGAAAACTTTGTCCTGACCGCTGCTCACTGCGCCGACGGGTAAATTTAAAACCCAATTTCTTTTAAATTTTTGGCAAATGTTTCATGTTTTCTATTATGAAAAAAGACCAAATTTTATGACCAATTTTGAAGGTAAATAACAAAACCTTTGCACCCCTAAGCTTCAAAAAGGGGGTTCATAGGAGCTAAAATTTTTTCGTCAAACTAATTTGAACCTTAAGGGAAGCATGTCCTGATTATATTACATAATATTAATGTTGTTTTTCCATCCAATTGTTGTTTACATTCAATATTGAAAAATCAGATAATTTTGGTAAAAAAAAGTCAATTTTGTTAATGGTTCGAAATGCTTTTGGCGCGAAAATAAGATACTTTGATTTTAATCCTTCACATTTCAACGTAGGTCATGAAATTTGGCCACCCTCCCTTTTGAATATTTTTCTAACGCTGGTCCTTTCCGCGTTTCAGATTCAGCAGCTGGCAGGTCCACTTGGGCGCCCAGTCCTTGTCTGCCACCGAAGATGGCCGCGTCATTCTGGAAAGCACCACCGCCAAGATCCACGAGCAGTACGACCCCTTCCTCATCGAGAACGACGTCGCCCTGATCACCCTCCCCTCCACCGTCGTTCTATCTCGTAATGAACAATCCAATCCCTTTGGCCAATTTCTAAAATTCTGATTCCTTCGCAGAATACATCCAGACCATCCGTCTGCCCGCCAAGTCCAACACTGACCTTTACGAGGGCGTCACCGCCAGGGCTTCCGGCTGGGGCTTGACCTCGGACGCCTCCAGCTCCGTCAGCGACACGCTCAACTTTGTTGACCTGCCCACGATCACCAACCAGGAGTGCACCGACATCTACGGAATCATCTTCGACTCCAACATCTGCACCAGCGGCGCTGGCGGACTCAACATCTGCAGCGTGAGTTGTTTTTCTTAGAGATTTCCTCAAATTCTCACACAAATTTGGCACTCTTAGGGAGACTCTGGCGGCCCCCTGGTTGTCCCTGAGGCCGACGGTGAACTCACCCTGATCGGTGTCACCTCCTTCGGCGCCTCCATTGGCTGCGAGCAGGGTCTGCCCGCTGGCTTCTCCAGAGCCAGTTCCTTCATCACCTGGATCGAAACTAACTCTGACGTTGTTGCCAGGCCTTAATTTTAAATAAAGAGATTAAGATTCAACTGTAGTTTCAGACATTTAATTTGTTTTAGAGTTTTCCAAAACCCCTTTCCCTTATGCGAAAAAAAAGACTCCCTGATTATTTTCTATGCTATTTTTCTCTAATTAAGCATTGGTTTGTAGATTGAAATTCCTAGAAAAAAATTCAGTTATTAGGAAAACTGAATTTTTGAAATTTTAAAATGTTTCTATTGGAAATTTTCAAACATAATTTTCCCCCAGAAATTGTCTCGAGGAAAATTGATAAAAAATTCATCAAATCACGTTCAAATAACCCCAACCAAATTGGCTAAATAAGATCAATCAACTTCAAAATTTATACTTATCTATTGTCAAGGTTTTCTGTAAACAAGATTGAATATAAAAAAATAATATAAAATTGAAATTAATATTAAACTAAAAAAGTCTAAATCTTCTTTCTGCACAGATTGAAAATTACACCAATAAATCACGTGACATTTTTCTTAGTGAGTCAACATTTGTAGAAGGACCACTTTCGAGTCGCCGCTTTTATCTCCAGCCGCGGTGAGGATTTGTACATTTCAACCGCTGCATTTTCCCAGCTTCAATAAATTTGTTTGCATTTTGCCGCCGCGGCCACTCGCTCGCGCGGTCTCCTTTATTGGCGAGGCAAAAGCAAATAATAATTACAGCGGTCGGCGAGAGAGCTGAAGCCGGCGATATTGAAAAAGCGATCACGTATTTATTGATGCAGGCCCCGGTGCAATATTTCAGTGACAGGCCGTTTAATTGCCTTCATTATTAGCTAAAAGGCTGCGGACGCGCGGAATTATTGCAGAATGAAAATCGACATCAAGTTGACTTTTCAACCCATTTGCAAAAGTTCTTTAATTAAGTGGAATTTGCTTGAATTTCTTAATTTATTTTCTGAAAGCAGTTAAAAATTCACAAAACTTTTCGGTAATAATTTGAAAACTTCATAGCAGAAAATAAGACAAACAAACTAGGAATGAAACGCTGCAAATTTTATATTTGCTAGGAATTGATTTAACACTCGGGTTAATTCATTTTTCAGAGAGAGCCAATTTAAAAAATAAAAAATAACTTTATAAAAAATAAAACCAGGCTAATTGTCATTATTTCAATCTTTTATTATTAATAATCTTTAAATAAAATAAAATATATGTAAATTATTGATCTTTTTTTTTCTGTCAATGTTACAAAACTTTTTGTATATTTTCAGTCCGAGTGTAATCGCTGCAACGACGGAATGAATGGCGTTGTGGGTCTAGGTTAATTTGCAGCCGCGGAGTGAAAAACTTTCCTTTGTAATTCGTTGACCGTGGCATTTACCTTTCCTTTTCGGGAGACGCGAAATATCATTAATCACAATTCACGGTGCCGCCGCAACCTCATCCTGCTGTCACATTTGATGCAAATCATCACTCACGCAGCCGGCGTAATAATCTTAAAGACACACACACTTCCATCTGCTCAAAATGTTTTTAATTAACAATGCGGCACTAATTAGGATTTAATTGCGATGGGAATTCGCCTTTTCTTATTATCTGCGCCAACAACAAAAGGCCCAAATTAAACCCGTCGCCAAATTCGTTTCATCAGAATGATTTTCTTTTTCATTATCTTAAAAAAAGGAGAGAATATTTATGAATACTCAATTGTTAAATTGATTTAGTTTTTTAATTCATAGAGTAATAAAACATTGAAAATAAGATAAAAATTTAACAACCAAACTGCTTCTGAATATTTTTCATTGAAGACGTACAGAAACTTTCGCTTTTTATTCTCCTTTCCTCGATTTATCGGTCGGAATTGGTAGAAGTGAATGAAAGAAAACGAAGCAGTGCGTGAAAAATTTAATCCCAGCCATATTATTTTTTGTTGTGTGCATCATTATTTTTTTCCCATTATTGCGGCCTGCAAAAGCACACAAGCGAATTCTCTCCCATTTTGCCGATTCCCAATCGGGAAAGCGCGCACGGGGATTTATTATTTTTTCCCTCTTCTCGGGCGCATCGCTCATCACCATCGTAAAAAATGGCGATAACAACGTAGAAGAAATCGAAGGAAGAAAAGACTTGCTCGTCGGAATATAAGAGCTTTTCCATTCATTCATGAGCGCCCGAGAGAGAAAGAGAGAACAAAAGCCAAAGCCTTTTCGCAGCCATGCAGGGCGGAGGAAAAAATCAGATTCATTGGATTGAGGAGAGCAAAGATGATCGATACTTGCTTCTCTCTGCACTCGCTGAATTAAGTTAGGCATCTTTTTGTCTACTTTATGGCCTTTTGCTCAGCCTCCCTTATTGGAATTTTATGCTTCACTTAAACGCGATTGGATTTTCTGCTCCAATATTCCGCGAGGTGCGGCCGATTGATTTTCAAACTTCTCCAACAAAACCGGTTTTTGATAATTAATGCTGTACGATTTTGAAATTGACATGGGATTATTAAATTTGATTTCGCCGCGAGATTGATAAGCGAGATTAATGAAAGTGACGAAATGTGCTTTTTATCAGACTTGTCCATCACCACCGTGATTTCGTAATTAGTTAATTTATTTTGACGGTCGGCGAGATTATTTCAAGAGATGAGTCCAATAAATTAAGTTGTCAAGCAGATATAAGTGTTTTTTTTCTTCTTCTCACGAACACCTGGCTCAATATTTTTAAGTGAAATAAATAAATGCTTATCTATATCGTTAGTTTTCTTTTCCTACAATGTTGTTCACTTAAAAGCATTTGGCACTAAAATGTAATTTACGGCCACGGAATGGCTAAATTTTTAATCTGACGATTTACGCCGAGATTATATTTAAATGGAACAAGTTTTTCACTCGAATACATTTTTCAAGGTTAATAAACTGTCCATATTAATTACAAAAATATGTATAAAATTATTTCTTTTCCAACTGGACTTTGGTAGTGATGAAGCCATCAAAGTGAGAGCAATAATTTTCATCACCTCTGCATAAATAAGCTGGGATTTACGACTCGGCCTTATTAAAGCTGTACCGCAAGTTACGACGAGACTTTTCGGTGCGCAGTGAAATTATTTTCGGGCCCGGCTTTAACGAGACGCCGTAAAATTTAATTTTCCGTTGCCGCAGCAGCAACAATTTAGCACCGCATCCTCAAAATGTTACTCGCAGCTTTTCCTTATCTAAACGAGAAAAAGTTTTGTTGAAGAAAAATGAAGGCGAAACTTTGAAGGAATTCAAAATTCATTCTATTCAAAAAGAGAAAAATATTTTAATTTTAATTCTAAAATATTTATATATTTTATTTTAAGACTGGATTTAACTAATATTTTATTATTGATGTCAATTTTAAGAATTCGTATTTTTTATGCTTATATTTAAACTAAAAATATCTTCAAAATGGATGAATTTTCTTTATTTCCTACTCTGAGACGCTTCCGTGAGTCAAAATTTAATCAAGCCAGTCGTATTTTGAATGAAACTTTGTGCTGCCCAGAAGGGTTGGTCAGTCTGGCAAATGGGGGTGGAATTTGATTTGAGACGGACATTATGCACCCTTGGCGGGCTAATTGAGCCAGCGATGAAGGGCTCGGAAGCGTGGATGGAAAACCATCAAGTGCCCTCTGCGCGCAAATAGGCAATTAATAGCTCGTCACACATGTAAATAGGGCGGGGGCGGCCGGAGCTCGAAAAAGGCGCTAATTTGCGCCACTTGAGCAGCAACGCGGCGTGCGACTGAAATGAAAACCGAGCGAGGGTCTTCCCAGCAACAATACCTTGCACCTTTCCAACCCCTCGCGAGACCAGAGGGGTGAGATGACTCATCGCCAATATTATGCAAATTGCAGGTCTGCGTGGCTTTTGTTTGAAGTCAGACTGCATGAAAAAGGAGTTAAGGAGGGGCTAAAAAAAAACGGTTTCGATGGTACTTTTTCTCTACTTTAGCAATGTTTTTAAGATTTCAATTCCATGGAGACAAATTAAGAGAAATTTCAATCAATTAGAAGCTGATGTTTTTAAATATAATAATGGTTTTTATGGGAATTTCCTAAAGTAATTTTTCTCTCAAAATTGACCTGACCAAAATTGATCAAAATTTTACCAAATCACGTTCAAATCACCCAAATCAAGATGGAAAATTAAAATCAATATGTCAGGCTACATAAAAAAATTTGCATTGATCTTATGAGGGAGTCAGTGTGATAAAAAAGTTAATTTGTTTCTTTCAGCAGATAATTATTTTATGATATCATGAGTAAATTTAATGAAGAATTAAAAGTTTTCTATACGCGATATTGGTTGAATAGAATTTCACATTTTTATGTTCAAAATCTTCTTTGCTAAATAAATGTGTAAGTTTTAAAAATAAGCATTGAATTCATCTTTATCATAAAATCATCTTACATCATATTTTTTCAACGGTTTGCAGGATTATTTAAATTTTTCATGAGTTGAAAAAGGCATCAAGTCGGAAAACACGAGGCATCAGCACTAAAAAGTGGTAAAGCCGCGGCCAAGAGAAGGATTAGTTTTATGTGAGCGACACTCACTCGCTCGGCGGCCAATGGGAAAATAAAGTTCACTCACTCGTCAACAAACACTGCAGAGAGTGAACTTTATCAGCATTTCAGTCTTTGCCTCTCTGGCGAGCGGTGTAATTACGCGGCAGATTTATGTGGACAAGTTTGAAGGAGATGCGCGACCGCCGATTTCCTCACAAATATAATTATTCTGTTAAGCCTTGTTTAAAAATAAAATCAGAAGCGGCGACGGGCAAATAACTCATTCGAATAAATAACCTGCCAATACGTAAAAGATTTTATCGCAAAAGCCGCGACCAATTGCATAATTTTAATAAACTTGTATTTCCAGACCCGCGACTGAATAAAAATATTTAAAATATGCAGTATTTTTATCAATTCAATCTAAAAAAGAATTAAACATTTACACTTGGTCAATAAGGAAGTTTCCAGAACGAGAAATAAAGTTTTACTTTTATTGATATACGAATATTTTGCTATTTTCCAGCTTTTCTGCAATGCAGGGAG